AAGAAGGAACTTTTTCTCAGTTAGGCCAGCTCGTAGCTTCCATTGAAGGGAGGACAAGTTATCACTGTCGACAAAAGAAATATCGAGTTCCCTTAGGAGTTCTTTTGATATCCTGGTAGCATCATATTCTTCTGATATGCTGAGCCATGCCCTAGTGGGAAAACTCACTTCCACCCTCAAATCTTTGTAAACTATTCGAGCCAAGGTGGTCTTGCAAAGCCCACCCATTCCAACTATTGGAACCACTATGATATTGTCTCCATTTGCATCCTCAGATAGCAACATTTGAGTTAGCTTCTCTTTATCAGCATCTCTCCCAAAAATAGCAATCTCATCAACCAAAGGGGTTTCATGTTGTTGATGTGATTGTATTCTTGATTGAATGACTTGCAAACCCAAGGGATTAATTTGTTCTATATACCCCTCCAGGCCCTCCACTATTGTTTCTATCTCGGGCATGATCTTCCTAAGAAGCTTATCACCCGAAGATGTACAAGGCAGAATCCTTTCAAAGCATAATCTTCTTAAGGCACTTTTCCAAGTGCTGGTAGTGCTTTGGTACTCAGTTTCTACCTTAATTCGCAGAGTTTGAGCGTTGATTCTGTCCAGTAAATCCTCTGCTTGATAAAATGTGTCATGAAGCTCTTCAAGCCATTTCTTGACCGATTGGTTCCGTATTTCCTTGTTCTCTGCATCATCAAGCACAGCTCCAACAGTGTGTAAGTTTCTCTTGAGCTTCCGGAGGAGATCATCATCAGCCGTCCTATTACGAAACAAATTCAGGAATTCAGGTCTGGCCATGCTATCAAATAGCACTTGAAGGAAAGCGGAGAGGAGTGAGCCCCCCACTAAGGCAGCAGCCATATCTCCAGGCGAAGATAAAATGAAAGAAACTTGCACAAGGAAAACAACGAGAGACAGAGACCTGCAATAAATGAGGATAATCAATTTTGTTTGGGAAAGTCAAGCTCAAAGAAAGAACATGAACATCAGTTCATTAGGTGTGGCTTTAGTTTAATTATAATGAATTGGTAAAAAAGTAAGCGGCAGCCATAAGTTGGGTTTTAAGTTGACAAAAGTTTTACAATTTTTCTGGGGCCAATTAATACGCTTAGTTTAGCATTTTGAGTCTCTATTTAAATGAAAATGAACTTTCAGACATCGGGGAACCTTTTTTTTTTTTTTGCCTTTCACATATTCTTTTCGTATATTTTTACATTTTCTTTATTGACATAGATTTTTTATGAATTTTAAACTCAGTATAAAACTTGTTAAATGGACTAAAGACCAAATGAAACGGTTTAAAAAATGAGAATGGTTAGCACAAAACTTTTGCAACAATAGAAGGCAGAAGAAAATTGGAGAAAAAAAATGCAAGAAATACACTATTACTAGTAATTTCCTCTTAGTTTGTAAGGTTGAAAGATGAACTAATCTACCCGATACTCGAATCGAGATTGGATTGGTAAGAGTTCATTCAAACTTAGTTCACTAATTAGTCAAGCCAGTTTGAATAGCATCTTATGTTCCATAACATTTAAATTCAATAAAAAAAAACAAGTTCAACAAATAAACAAACTAAATTTTAACAAAATTTTAACCTTATTAAAATAATCAAACAACTTTGAATACTAGAGTCTTCGACTTTATTGGACTTATTTACACCCATACCTTTTCGTGATTATTATTATTATTATTACCCGCTATGGTTTAAAATCCTATATTTAATTCGCTCATGATTTGGATTAAAATTTCACCGTCAATAGTAAAAAGCCAAAATCAAACTAATAAATTGACAAATTCAACCTTACACTACTTTTTTTTCTTTTTTCCTTTTCTTTGTCTCTCTTTGTTTTTTTTTTTGGAAATGAAGAGATGATTTTGAAAACCTACAAAATTTTAATTTTCTCCAAATACGAAAGAGATGGAAGAGAAATAAAAAAATAAATAAGAAACAAAAAAGATGGAAGGGAAATATAAAACAAATAGATAAGAAACAAAAAATATGAAATCTTTTTCCACAGCAAATATCATTATAGGTGTTCAAACCAAATCTTTAATGGTATTTTCTAGTTCTTATTTATCTATTTTTTATTTCAATTTCTCCTTTTTTATGTTTGGAGGGGAAAAAGGTAATGAAAGGATAAATTTGTCAATTTATTAATTTGAATTTAACTTTTTACTATTGATCGTCAGTTTTAATGGAAAAACTATGATATTTTAATCTAAATTATAAGGAGATTATATATATATATATATATATATATATATATATATATATATATATATGTTTTTAAACCATAGGGGAGTTATGTGGTAAATCACGAAACCACAAGAAGGGAAAAAATAATTTATCCTTATTATTATTAGTTTAACTTTTTGTAATCATGTGTATAATCCAATAACAATTACATAAAAATCATCACATCACTATAGAAAAAGCAAGCTTCTGAAATGCAAGTTTTCTTAGTGAAAAAAGCAACGAAAGAGAAACAGGTACATAAACCATTTGAGAACCAACCTTAGGTACCTTCCCTGCATTAAAGTAACAAAAGCAGAACAGGAATGCAAGTTTTTCCAACTAACTGGCAAAACGGAAAAAATAAAGAGAAAGAGAAAGAAGAAAATATGAAAAAGAAAAGTAATGGTGGGTGGTAGGGAAAGTAACCAATGATTCCCTTTGGTGGTGATGAAGAAAAGGACAAACCGAAAAGAAATTGTCCCATGAGAAGATTAATTTAAAAAAAAAATGGCTACAGGACCTATAGTACTCTTTCAAGAAAAGATAAAGAGAGTTGCTTTGTTTTGCCAACTAATCAGCTAAGGATCGGTCTTTACCCTAAGTTCTCGATTCGAGTTGTACCCCCGGGAAATGCTTTCTGAACATAAATTGGAAGTGAGACAGATTTTACACCTAAGTGGATATATTTTAGGGATTAAATTGGAATAAATTTCATACTTTAGGGATTAAAATGAATAAGTTATATATTTTAGGGACTAAAGTATAACATTTTATAATTCAGGGACTAAAGTGCCCTATTTTAAAGTTTAAGAACCAAAGTGAAAACTTGGGTATAATTAAATGATACAAAGTGGAATTAACCCCATGATAATTTCTTCAATTTTTTTTATTAACAAAGGTTAAAATTAGTCAAAGTTAATATGATCATATCCCTCCCTAATAAATGAAGATACATGTCATGCATTCAGATGCGCACTACAAGAAATGAAGAGAGAATCCATTGGAGAGGAGCCAAATTCTTATAGGGTTTTCTTAAACCTTTAATGTGGGATTTGAATTTGATAATTTGCAATTAACCCAAAGTGTCCCCACATAGTTACAAACGAATTTGACATTTTCAACCTATTAACGAATATAATTTGTTTATCCGCTGAACCTATACCAAAACAGTAAAGTGTACACAGCTCATCTTCCTTTCAAGTTCATGCAATCATTTGCTTGTTAATTATCTTAAACTGATGAGTTGTCATATGCCAAAAAAAGAAGTGCTGGGGTATTATTTACTTTGCAATATATTAATTTGAGGAGTTAACTAATCTACCAAAGCATGGAGATCTAGTGAAACTTTGGAATTACTGACCAATGAAGCAATGCTGTTCATTTTTTTTTTTTTGGCTTAAAAGAAAAGACATAGAGCCTTTCCAAGAGTAATTTGAAGAATTAATGTGTAATTTACATGATTTGAAAGCTAGTTCAAAAGACAAAGTGAACAGAGGAATTTCAATCCGTCTAATATCTTGAAAACTGCGTAGAAAAATATCAAAATAAAAGCCACATCCGGAAACGACAAGGAAAAGACAATGAAATAAAACAACAGGGTCCATTATTAAGTCGATGAACCACAAATCAAGACTTCGTATCAGCATAAAGCTTGGCAACGATTGTCATATTGTAGCTGTTAGTATTTGTTGACAAATTTAAAAACATTTTAGGACTTTCGTTAATTTAAATTTAGCAATTGGTGCGATATTAGGTGATTGCGTATTTGATTGCTTTCTGGGTTATAAATAGGCTATTTTATAGTATTTTTCTATGAGATTTTTTTTTATCTTTCTCATCTCTGCTTACACCCTTCACACTTTCAAGTGTTAGGTTTAAGATTCAAATTTTGAATCTAATAATGAGAAAAAGTCCAAGAGCCCTTCTTTGTTTATTAGACCGACTACACTGGTCAGAGTTTAAAGGACTTATTGATAACAATTTATGTGACATTCTTCATTGTTTTAGATCTAAAATTATTGTGATTTGATTTCTTTATTCCATCCCACATAATTAGTATTTGATTATAAAATTCCTTCAATTCTGTGATCATGCAAAATATTAATATTAGAATTCTAAATTTTGAGATCTACAGCATTTCCTTTTCTTTCTAGTAACTCTTTTTTTTTTCATTGGGCTTCTTTCTAATAACTCACACACTACATATTCAAGCTTAGGTATGGCAGAAATGATTAAACTTAGAAATGCCAAAATGAATTAGAAATAAATTGTCATTTTCATTGTTAATAGAGGAATTTATAGATGCGATAAGGAAACAAATTTCAGGTTTTTTAAAATATTTTTTAAGTAAAAAGGGTGTGAAATTTAAGAAATAGAAAGAAAAAAATGGAGATTTAAACTCAATACTTCTAGTTTCTAAGATTTCAATTCTAACCACTACATCAAAACATTCTTGACCAAAATACATGTATCTTTTATGATATAAGCTTCAAAGTAAGAACTATAATAATATTTGTATATCACATTGATAAGTTAAAAGTTTTAAAGTAACTTGCCTAAACTTGAATTTAACGAATATTAGTACTTTTATGGTCACTATTCGACTTTAACGAGATTCAACTCGGGCTCCAACTCAACCAAGTAAGCAAAACTAACACGACTCGGCTACACTTAGTAGTGTACCAAGCCTGGAACAGGGTCCATTATTATTAACGAATTCATTTTCACACCTCACAGCTCTAGAGGCCTCCGGGATCATAGTTGGCCCACAGTCTCTTGAATTCCATCAGCCCAACCCATGTTCAGAAATGTACACGACGTCGTCGTCTGGCAGTTCAACAAGTTGAAAATCTCTTCCTCTTTTGCTTTTTGTAAAGATCGGACAGAAACACGACAACTTCTGAACTACAACTTCTACAAGAAGATGATGAAAGGGTACGCATGGGCTGTTTCGGCTGGATTCAATGCTGCTCTTACTGCCATTGCCGCCAAGCACTTTTCTTCCCAGGTGATTCTTGAGATATCCTCCAATAATCAACTAAATCATATCAGCAAGAAGAGGCGTTAATAGTTGTTAATAGAAAATGTATTCAGCATTAATGGCTTGAATTTGGTTAATTATCAAGAAATTCGTCTTATATTTAAGTTTGTTAACTTCCATGTTGATCTGGAATGAGAATCTGATTAGGTTGACGTCTATTTATCTCCTGATAAGAGATATGTCTTGTTGATTTGTAGTGAGAAATGAAAATTTGTTCTTCAGTTCTATCTAATATGTTTTAACTCTTTAGCCCCAGTATAAATGTGAATATCAATGTTATCTGGGTAATTGGTCATCCCATTTCGGCTGCATACTGTTTTATTTCAACTAGTTTATAAGAGGCACTCCTGGTTTGTGTATTCTAGAAGCCTAAATTTTCTACTATATGTTCAGTTGCCTCGAGCTGGAATTCCTTCTTTGAAGGCCCTGCTTCCTACTCGGATCAGCTCATGTATGCAAGTTGTCACGTTAAGGAATACCAGTGTTAGTTTGAGTGCCTAGTAATCTTGAGCAAAAGAGTACTTATTTTCCCTCCCAATATGAAGATTGAAATGTAATTAGCATAACACATTATACATGCCATGTCAAATTCAAACTCATCAACAAAAGTTAGAGATCAGCTAAAACTTATAATATTGCTTATGTTATTAGTTGCTGTTTATCATTACATACCTGAGAGCGTATCCATTCAGATCCAAATTCTGCTTATGGAATTTAGCAGGGAAGGAGTCAACCTTGATTATTTGTAGAAATCTTAATTTTCTGCTAGTATCTATCGTTTGCCTGCATGTGTTCATGAGGAACAGAGATACAAGAAAGTGTACAAGTTATCTGAGTGTGTCTCTCTTTTCTTCTCAGGAGATATCTAAATGTCTTTGCTGCGGGAGTACAAATAAAACCTATCTATAATCTATTATCACTCAACTGACTTGTTTTTGTTGTAATAATAGCTTGTTAGGTATGGCCTGGTCATAGTACTGAATGCTTTAATGTGGGGGTGTTATGTAAATAGCCTAAAAGCTCTATCATCTCTCCAAGCTACCGTTACAAACTTTGCAATGAACTTTCTCTCTTCTGGATTGGCTGGATTCTTCCTCTTCAAAGAGGTGCTGCCGTTTCAGGTAATTAAGATGATTTTCAGAGGTCAAGACACCTGCACACTTCGACTTATTATGATAGCAAAATTTTCCCCAAATCCAGCCTTATCCATGGCTACATGCCATAGTTTTACGTAGTTGCTGCCATTGCAGCACTTCCTTTGTCCTTCTTAGACAGTGAAGTGATGGACTCAAAGTAGTAGTTTAGTTGAGTTTTGACTCGTATCTCATCTTTTTGTGCCAATGGCTGAACTTAGTAGTGTTTTACATGTTCATCCTAGTCTTTTTGTTTGTTGAGGAAATAAGATAGGATGGATGATAGAGAGGTAGAGCTATCACACCATGTCTTGGTTCCTAATTTCGATTCATCTAGCAGTGTTCAAGCATCAATCTCTGTGGATTCATTTCTTGATGAGTTGTTAAGAAATGGCCAAACATGTACTCACACCCATACTTGCAACCCTCCTGGCCCTGATGCTGCACATACTCACACATGTTACCATACTCATACCCAAGTCATTCCATCTGAGAAAGTGGACAATCCTAGTGAGAAAGTAGATGGTCCTTGTGATAGTAGAAAGTCAACATCAAAGACTAGGAGGTCTTCTGGAAATAGAGAAGCTGTTAGGAAATATAGGGAGAAGAAAAAGGCACATACAGCTTACTTGGAAGAGGAAGCTAAGAAACTGAGACTGGTAAACCAACAGTTGATTAGGAAAGTGCAGAGGCAAGCTATTCTTGAAGCAGAAATCTCGAGGCTTAGAAGCCTTTTGCTCGATGTTAGAGGGAAGATTGATACTGAATTGGGTGCTTATCCCTTACAAAAGCAGTGTACTGCAAGCACTAAAGTTAAAGAAGGGGAGTCAGGGATGCAATATTCTGGTCTGGCAATGGAGCTTCAGTGTGAGAATGATTTAACTTGCTTCCATCCTCACGGGGATTCATCCATAGAGGATGGTGGTTTTGGTGGATGTGATAAAATGGGAGCTTCATCTTGGGAAGGAAACTGCCAGTCTGCAACTGTTGCTTGTAAAGCTAATGGACCTGCAGAAAGAAGTGGTATGGACTCCGTGGAAACAAGGCTTTCATCTGCATCTCAAGCAGAGTAATCAAGAGCCAAGGCAAGATATCAATTATGACCTTCCCGATCGTCAAGTCTTATAGAACTTCTGCTTTAGTTAAATTTATGATAGAACTATGCTAGGTTGGCTGGGGTAATACACATCTGAAGTACTGAACATTCCAAGAATATAGTCATAAATCAGGTTAACACTTTGTTCTATAGAGAAGTATGAACCTGTAGATATTTTTGTACTCAAAAGGGGAAAAAATGACCTCTATAGTATATGGTATCCTACATGTATGAGAGCACTGATTGATGTACATAAATCTCTATTTCACTAGTGCGGTTTTCAACATTTTGGTGGTTGTATAATAGCACCCCTGAGTAGCTCTCTATGTGGTGGGATTTCCGGTACACTACCAGAATACTTAATGGATGTTATCTTTTCTCTACGTTGGTGTAATTGTGATTTGATTGTATTATGCAAAGATTCTTTGATTAGGAATTTAGGTACCAATTGAAGTAGAAGCTCTTTTTCTTAACACTAGCAACTTTCTATCTGAAGTTTCCTTTTAGCACAGATTGGTGCTGGTTATGAAACTAGGACATTTGTATCTATAGAAGGGTTTTTGTGTAGCACAGATTGGTGCAGGTTATGAGACTAGGAAATTTGTATCTCTAGAAGACCATACAGATGACAAGCTTGATGGATAGGGTTAAGCATCCCAAATCTTTCCACTTTGCTGAATGTCAGTATTATTTAAGGACAGAGTATTCATTGGTCATTTCCTTTCCTTGCAAGGGTGGTTAATTACTCCAACATTTTTTTTTCTGATAAGTAAGTTTTCCATGAAGATTTTGAAGGTCAATGAACGCCTGAATTCTTGAACATTTAATCCTTCCCCATAATAGATGTTGATTAAACGCAAGATATTTACTTAAAATGTACAATGCCATCTTAACCATCTTGACCCATTCGAGTCTATATGGCACAAGTTCATGAGGTTACAAAATGGATAATCCTTTGAGGTAAACAATTTTCATTAACAAAAAAGATGTGTAGATTATACAAGGAACAAATCAAATCTGGTACTTCTGGACAAATGTTGAAGAGACGTCGAGAAAAGTAGTTGATTAAAACTGTGGACTGGACTAGGCGACGCAACGACTTATTTCGAGATAGAGAGCATTGCAGGGACCGGAATGTGGGCAATATTCATGCCATCAACATCCTGCTAAGTTTCCTTGGTGTAATTCAAGGTTTCATGCCTGTCACATAAATCATAAGAATGATGAGAAAAATATGTGCAGAATGCAGTTAGCTTATGATCAGATCATTCCATAGATTCTTTTGCAGGATTTTACCGTGTACTTGAGGGTCTTCAAGTGTGGTAGATCTTAGATTTCAGCCACAGAGGAAAGGAGGCAGCGACTCTTCTGAGAACAATTGGAGTTCTGTTCCCCCTCAATCTTGAAGGAAGATCTTGAAATTGCATCAAAGCAATTAACATGCCAGGGTGTATTCTATTGGTATTTTGAAGTGTAAGTGTAAGCATTGTTATGATCTTAGTTTTTGTTATTTCAATTATGCCCTTCTTAATTTGTGGTTAAAGTTTTATCTAATATTAATTGTGGGTGGCTTAGAAGAACAGAGTGGTTGATTATTAAGATCACTAAATTGCTTCATACCATATTGATTTAGAAAGAAACATCTCCTTAAGGTTATAAACAGTGAAATTATTTGAGAAACATTACTCGGATGAATTACATGAGTTGTACACATCCAATTCAAAAGGGAAAAATTTTTTCATGTTGTTCCGAATGGATTTCAATATGCAAAAAGTAATGGAACATTTATAATTGAAATAACAATATTGAATTGGAAAAATGAAAATCCAAAGTAGCACCATACAAGTTATTATTATGTTTAATATCAATACCTCAAAATAAGAAAAACTAAAAACTATTTATAAGATGATATAAAGTGAATAGCAAATGAATCAAGAAGTTGGAAACACAATTCAAATGATAACAAAGACGATTTCTAAATAATTGAAATCCCAATTCAAGTGATTGAAATCCAAGGGAAGGCAAACATATTGTTATTGGCAATAATATAGTAGTAATTTATTTGTATTGCTTTGAGTAAACCAAGTCCATCCATCAAGCCATGCAAAAACCATGTCTAATGATAAAACAAGAATGATAATAAGAGTAAACTTAAAATGAAGAATGATATCCTTTTTTTTGTGATGCCCAAAATACCCTTGGTTTCTAATGATTACACACACACACATATATATATATATATATATATATATATATATATTGTATTACAATATTAGTGAATAATGGTAGCGGTTATGAATTTCATTTATGGTGACAATTGTAAATAGATAGATTTAGTGCATTCCAATAATTGACAATAATGATAGTGGTTATGTATTAAAAGCTGGCAATTGAAAAATAAAACACTCCAATATACTAAAAATTAAGATTAAAACTGTTAATTAGCCACAATTTGCATTCCGATTCCATGATCATCAAAAACAATGATGCTGAAACCAAAAAAATTGTGTTCGTGTGAAAAAGTATACTTGTTGCTTTTTCTTTGCATTGGATTATGCTAAAAAGTATGAATAAAAGCAAAGGAAAATGGAAAAATCCAACTATCTCTATCTATGAAATTTCAATTGTCATGAATCATTATACTCCATTATTGTCAAAAATAGCAATAAAAAGAATTCAATAATTTGTTTATACTCAATTCATACGTAATGATTGTGGTTTATAAAAAAAATTGAAACAATTGTAGTTTTATATGTAATAAAATCACTAATATACAATAAGTTTGGTAAATCATGATATTATCAATATTTGATGTGTTAGAGTTGAAGCTATAAATAAAAAAATCTTTGGTTCATGAATTCAAATTTTAATCCTAAGGGACATGTTAACTAATTGGAATGCTTTCTTTCTCTTTCTATTTAATCAAATTTTTAAAAATAATTTGTTAAAGAAAATAAATAACATAAAAATACTAAATTATCATATTGATGATCAAAATTTTACAAAAAAATCTTATTATTTAAAGAGTAATATATTTTAGAATATTATAATCACGTGCAAAGTAAGTATAGTATTTACTAGTTATGTAAATCTAAGAGTACTATAATGCTAAAAATCGAGGATGCAACTTCGACTTCTACGAGCTTTAAACTAGTTGTGAACTTTTAGGCTGACCACAGGTCCACAAAGGCTAGCCAGAATAGTGTTGGAGTTCCAGGAGATTAACCAGAATAGTGTTGGACCTTTTTAGCTGGTTATACAGAACACAAGCTTCATTTCCATGACAAAAAATTTCGAGTTGTACCTTGAAGGGGTTCAAGAGGTAATACAGATATTTTTAATCAGGACAGACGTTCATACATCACAAAGAGTAAATTATTCTTATTCTTAGCTATAGCACAGACATTCACCATAAAAGAGACATTGATTGAAGTACAGGAAAGCTCAGCATGTCTGAGACATCATGCTTCAGAAAGAGAACAAGTGTTTGCATCATAAAATTATTATGTTACCGTAAGTTAAAGAAATGCAATAAATCCAGTCTCTAAATGTGATTCCGAAATTGAATCGTTTTGAGAATGAAGCCACTGAAAGAAGGAACAATTCATCTTACTCACTGAGAAGTAGACAGCATTAATGTTCATCCAAGAACCACACAAATCCAACTACAAAAGCAGATTGCTTGTGGCAAGCATCAAACGAAAAACATATATCTGTATTTAAAGCCGTTAGTTGATCACCATATACAGAAGGCACACACTCAGCTTGAAATTTGAGTTAACAGAGTTCCAAAAAGCATGAGTAGAATAACGCACAGCCAACCATTTGGCTGTGTATTAAGAACGAACTAGCGTCACTGTTGATGAGCATATCTTTTGCTATGTTTAAAGAATCCAAGAAAGCTCAATTTTGAAGGCTGTAGTTTGTTTGCGTGCAATGATCCTTTCTTTTTGCTCCCCACCCATTACAGAGGAACTACTGCTACTAAAATATTAAATGTTCTACGGCTACTTTCAATTTAACCATAATAGTTTAGTTAAAGTAAAAGTTATCCAAATCAATATCCACACAATCCTCTAGAAAATTTCCAACTTCTCGTACTTGCCAAAATCAGAAACCTTTCAAAACGTAAATTTACACAGCAGAAATAGCTGCCTCGAGCCCTACTAAGCCTACCACCACCCTCTCTTCACCTGATATGAAGCAGTCATGGTACTCGCCGCTGCCCTCAGAGGCATTGCATTAGTTGCAGAAATGTCAATCATTCAATTCAAAGCATGACAATAAAGCCACATTTTTGCTTAAAAGTAAATATTGGAGTCTTAATTTTCCTTTTGCATTTTCACAATCTCCTCTTCGTTTTGTTCCTTAACACTAATTTCCTTTTCTTAGTGGGTGTGATAGCGATAGTCATGATAATCATGTTAATACTTCCAAATTCACTTCAGTGATGTGATTGAAACAAAAATATACCAGGATTATTCAGAAACTAAACTTGAAATCAAATAATAAATGCAAAGGACTTACAACATGTGCCCCTATTTTTAATTGCAAAGAGAAAGGAAACGTTTGTCTACGATCCAATGTAAAAAGCGACTATGGAAGAATGCATCGAATAAGGAAAAGGAATATCATCTCAAAAGTTGAAAAATTCCAGAATTTGCAAATGCAAGGCAGGAACTATGATGTGGCTTGCACTCTTGCAATAACATCATTGGAGTAGACAATCAGATGTTCTGCAAGGTTGGCCTTGAACAAGGAGAAAAATTCCAAAAGAAAAACAAGAACTAAAGAGTAAGTTGAGAAGATTTTCAGCAGGAAGCTGGGATCATATGCACAGGAAATGACACTCCTGTGATTTTAGGCATTAGAGCGTTCCAAGAAAATGAATCTGACAGAGGAAGGTACCTTTAGACCCTCAGGGTCGATCAAGTGATAAGCAAGATTCTATGTCGAATTAGTTCACTATCTAAAGCTATGAAGTTTACATTAGAAACCTTGGGGCCAGTCTTCCCCCTCCCATTCTGCCCTTACATAGTGATTTGAGCAATGAATACCACATTTTACATGCATAATGGAAGAATGGAAGTTGCCAACCACTCTTTTTGTAGCAACTAGTGCTGAGAGCAGTCAGCTATTTCCATCTCTTCAAGATCTGTGTAGTGTTGATGATGCTTGTAGGTCGTTGTTCTTCAGCTCTTGTGCTGCTCCAAGTGAAAGATTGTACCTGTGCAGTGTGCAAGACAGCAGCCAATATTTTGAAAGTGACTCTTCTTCCACGGTGCCACTAATCTTGCATTCCCAACGAGAGGGGAAATTCAGGATATCCACCATCAAAAGGATATGTTTGTAGTCTGGAGGCAACACTGAGCTACAAAAGCTCTCAGCTACAGGATGCTGCCACACTTTTGAACATTAATGCACGAGAAGGGATTGCATCTTTCCAAGCAGCAAATTGAATCCCTTGCAATATGTACTTCTGAAAAGAGGCACTAAAAAATCAGTCCAAAATTTTGGAAATAATTATCAAATACAACAATGATTTGACTTTCAAATTTTTGTCTATTTCCTGTGTCGAAAGTGGGAAGAGGAAGAGGAGGAAAGGCAATAACGGGTTACTGGTCAGGGAATGCCCTCTTTAAATACCAGCTGTTGTTTCAAGAAAAGTGCTTGAATTACAGAAATTCATTCCAATTTATCGAAGGTCTACAAGGATATATGAAAATATTTACAATGAACACAAACTGCAACATACCTAGAATATCTTGTTGCGTAGGGTAAATATGAAAATATTAGTAGAAGTGGAGCAGAGCATTAGAGATGGATTATGCAGCAAATACATAACTAAACAAGGTATACCAGAGAGAGAATGCAGTCAATTATACTCCATGAGGAAAAGCATACAAGGGGAAAAGATAGCAGAAACCACTTCAAATTAGTTGTCTTTTCCTCTTTCAGAAAAATTGATTCTTCAGTATGTATTGCTTCCTTCAGTTTATTATTATCGAGGGCTAAAACAAGTGACCTGAAATTTTATGTTTTGGGACTCTCAAGTAACTATTATATGAACTGTTGACGGTTAGTGTCAAAAAGGTACTCATCCAACGTTTATACAGTCTGTGTGTAGAAGGATCTTGGAAAGTTGAAATTTGCACGGCAATCACACGAATACAAGGTGTAGATAAGAATGAAATTAAGTTATAACTGTCATCAACACAAATATCCATCACTGATTTTCTGCTCATTTTCTTTTTGCACCCCTTACTACTCTCTCTTCAAATTAATTTTATGAACTCTTCATCTATTTAGGATCAAACACAAACAAATATCCAGCAAGGAGCCTTTTACACGCCTAATGCTACCAAGTCAAAAGGGTAAAATACCATTGGAACCAACAAAGAGTACACAAGCCTGGACCATATTTAGAAAGGACCATGCCAAATCCATAGCAAGAAATATTACCTTAATGCAAGGGATAATGATAAACCAAGGAAGCCAAAAATATTTGAAGGAAACCAACATCTTACCAGCAAAAATTTTTAATTTACCAGAAAACCTAAAATTAAGAATGGGAGCTGCAAAAGAAAGCACTGCAAATGTTTAAAAGAAGAGTACAAGGCATGGAAGTATTTAGCTTGGAGAAATGTCCGGAGATGTTCTGCATGGCATATTTATGCAGAAAGAGAATGAAGGACATACAGGAATTGACAACCTTAGTGGTATGCAACATTCTAATCTAAGAGCAATTTTTATGACAGAGATAAAACCATAAAGAAAAGGATTTTTTTTGTACCCCAATACATCTTGCATGTACAAAGTACTCAAAAATGAATTATGTCTTCCAAGACAAACAGGAAAAGGATGACTCTACTGGAACCCATGACAGTTTGTGTTCAATACAAAGGTGCTGCTAGGCTGTGCCATATCCCTTCAATTTATCATTTCCTCCATTCATTTCCGCAGTTTTCTTCCCCATTTCATCTTTTTGGTCTTGTTTAACGTCTTATTATATATAAAAGCAAATGAATATTTTGAAGAAAGCTTGGTGCAAAGAGCTAGAAAGGAGCAGATAACTGAACATACCTAAGGTGACTTGAAGATTCTATTGACTTTATATGCTACAGACATTCTGGAAACATACATAAGAAATTCAAAATGACAAAATACACGCTACTAAGTACTAAGGTATCAATGACCAAAAAATATGATGGTGATAATATGGGTCTTACCAAGTATCCTCTCAACTTAAGGTCAAAAGAAGCTAGCCAAATCTGGATATGAAACAACTGTCAACATCTATAAAACCTGAGATCAAATGACCAAGTTCTCCAAGAGTCACGACATTGAAGCGTCACTTTTCAACCAGTAATAAGAAAACCTTAATAGACATTTTCACTTGTGTAACTAAGCTTGATCCAATTGATACATCCCATGGTTTAAGCAGGTTACATGCCAGAAAGAAGTCCTTTTTCTATTCTAAAGAACTTCAACTAAAATTCATCACAGGTAAAAGGATTAAATAGCTCATGAAGATTAACAATGGTGCAGCAGTTCAAATGGAGTTAATAGGAATAAAATAATATTACAATGATGTCAACAGGAACAAATACTCATAGAGTACAAATGAGTAACAATTCCTAAGTTGAGTTTACTATAACTTGCGGATTGCATTTTACTGAACTGTGTGCTATCTGTTCAAAACAATTTCAAGACTGCACCACAATTGCCATATAAGTGAAAGCACAAATCTTTATGCTCCTAAGAATTGTCAGGGGAACATAATGAAAAGTCAATGAATTGCAACGTGCAAAAAGGAAAATAATTTACCTTCAGAGAAATTGTGAGTGCATAACTGATCACAGAATAAATACATCATTGGCATCCATGAATTGTCAGCTATATTGCACCAATCATCTTCTACCCTGTAGTGTCATCAATGTGGGCAGTTTTTTATTTCTGCCATAAAAAGCAGGTAGGTAGACCCTCTTCTGGCAATGGCTGAAGCTGAAAGCAATAACGAGCTGTATTCCCTAGATGGGAGAGTGCAATCCTATTCCTCACAGATACAACAGATCAGGATCAAATTAAAGAAGCCAGGACTGCTCCTAAAAAGATGAAAATTATTTCCTATTATAGCTTAGAAAGTAAACAGAAAATTGCAAAGCATGCACATAGAAAACTTTTAGCAAGTTTAAGAACAGTCTAACAATCATAGATGGTTAACAACATATTGAAGGTTTCCTTCCTCCATCAGCATATATCAATTGAACAAACGTGGAGAAGAAAGGCCAAAGACTTTAGCCCTCTATTTAATCACAACACAGAAATCCTACTGTACTATACCAAACAATCAAACAGAGCTAGCCAATATGCGAAAGAAGTTGAAAACACTCAAAGATTAAAAGTGTTAAAAAAATATAGGGTACCTTAATCCAAAGAGATGATGGAGGTCTAGTAACTGTGGGATCCCTCACACTTCTAGCGTTTTTGTGAAGGGATTAATTCTTGATCAACTACTGTGTAGGGATGTCTCTAATCTCGGGCCAGTCTTATCATTTCTCCCATTCCAACTTTGGTTTCAGCAATGGGCAGTCAAAGATTTCCAGGGAGGTTGGAAGTCCCTCTTCTAGTAGGGATTGGAGTGGAGTACAGGTCATGATTGTTAGCTTTTAAAGAAAATAGTAAGGTGTCAAAGACCTGAATAGTTTAGCATGTTCAGATTCTTAAGGATCCATAATCCAAGAGATTCAAGCAAGGCGACAGTCCTCCTGCACAACTCTACAAAGCTACCACCAATGCTCAAGTGTGTGAGAGGCAACTTCTCCAAACCCCACTCCCTCCGGTAACTCATGAGCTCTTTGCAATAGGTGATCTCAAGATAATGTAGGCTAGAAGGCAAACGACCTTCTAGGAAGCACTATTTGTCTAGTTTCAGATATCAAAGAGGTGGGAGGAGGGATTTATCCTTTTTGGCAGGAGGCACTTGATGAGAGTAATCTACTATAGATAGGGGGCTGGAAATCCTCCCTCTGCAAAAGACATAAGATTAATGCAGAACTCAATAAGGATTGCTATGACATCAGTCAAAAAAATTCATCTTTGAGTACCAATCCTTTATTCAAGAAGAGTGCTTGAATACAGAAAATTTTTTCAATTTATCAAGCTCTATAAGGTGGCATGCAAATATTTACAACCAGCACAAAGTACAACATACCTAGAATATCTTGTTGGATATGGTATATATGAAAACATCAGTAAGGTGGAGCAGAGGACTAAAGATCGATCATGCAGCATATAAATTATTAAACAAGCTATACCAGAAATGGTAAGAAAAAAGAAAATGCAAATGCAAACCACAGAGGCAGAGTGTAGTCATTTGTTCTCATGCAGGAAAAGGCTTATGAAGGAAAAAGGCATCCAAGAACCCACTTCAACTAGGTCTTTCTACATCCAGAAAAATTAGATTTTGGTATGCATTACTTACTTTCTTTTTCTAATTACCAAGGGCTAAAGTAAGTCAACTGAAGTTTAATTGTTTTAGCATTCTCAAGAAACTATCATAAGAATGATTGCTGATTAGTGGCAAAAGAAGAAAGGTACTCATCTAAAGTTCATACCCTCTTTGTGCAGAAGGATCATGTGTCGCTCAAAACTTACATAGTACTCCGACAAACACAAGGAGTAGATAAGACTGAGATCAAGAAACACAAATATGCATTCCTGCCATTTGATCCTTTTTTTTCTTTCTTGTTACCCCATCTTGCAATCTGAAAATCAATTTACTGAAATCTTCATCTATTTAGAATCAGAAAACAAATAATGTCTAGATAGCAATGGTGCCTTTGATATTCCCTCTACTCTAAATTCTAAACTGGTGCTTAGCATCCCCAACCAACATAAAGCACCCAAGTCTAGACTATATTTAGAAGGGGCCATGACAATTCTGGATCTGGAATCCAAGCCTTAACGTGAGGAATGATAAGAGCGTGTGGTTGAGCCCCAATAAACATGCACGCATGACAGATTTCAGCTTGTGATGTTCAGGTTGATGGTTTCCAGAGTGGTCTATTTGCTGCATGGAAAATCGAGGAAGCTAAAAGATATGTAGAGGTTACCTGCATATTAGCAACAAAAATTGTTCAATTAAATAGTAAACCTCAAATTGTACATAAAAGATAAAAGAAAGCACAAAAATAATTTAAAGAAGGCATAATCAGATGGAAGCATTTAACTTCAGGACATCTTAGGAAAAATGTCCTGCTGTTGCATAATGGCGCAGAAAGAAATTAAGAAATTTAGGAATTCCCAAAAAATAGAAAAGAAAAAATTCAATGATCTCGTCAGGAAAAAATACTCATATAGACAGGGTGTGTAACAGTTCCCCTAATTAGAGTTGACTAGAACTTGCAATATATTTGCATTACATTGTACTTTGTAGTGTTCAAACATTTTTAAAAGTTCCCATGTCTGTAGCATAGAGAAAGCATAGATCTTGATGTCGAGCAAGCATACTGAAATACCAACAAATTACATTATGTAGAAAAAAAGAAAAAAATAATTTAAATTGAAAGTGCATAGCTGATCATAAAATAAGTTTATTGTTGACATCCTTGAAATATGTGCTACCTTGCGCCAATCTTCTTCTTCTCTACTCCAAACATAATGTCAGCAATTAGTTAGTTCTTGGTCTCTAGCATAAAAAGGGAGGTCACTAGCCCCAATCTTCAATGGCTAAAGATGAAAGCAACCTTCGAGGACTGGAAGAGAGCAATTCCTGCATCAAATTTTGAAAAGATTAGAGCACTTCATAAATGCTCCTTAGAAGAAGCAAATTGTCTTTTATTATACTTCAAAGCAGAATTAAAGGATTGTAAAACGAACACATTAACAACTCAGGCAAAATGAGGTCATAGCTTCAAACAGGAAATTATTGAGTGCATCAAAGAAATCACAGAAAACACTTAGCGAGTTTAAGAAGAGTCTAATAATCGTAGATACCTTATAGAAAATTGAAGGTTTTTTTTCTTCATCAGCAGTTGCACAGTTACCGAGGAAAGCATTTGTCTGCCTGAGTTGGTGGCCTACTTGATTGGAATCTACAGAGCAGAAATGTACCAAAGCATGGACTCTTATTTTAAAAAAAAAATTGAAAAAGAAATACAATGGTGAAATCTATAGCTAGAAAGTAATATATTATGAGATTGTTGCATCAGTAATGGCCATTACCTCAACTGTCCTTTCAACACATCCTAGTTGTACACAACATTCAACACATCCTAGTTATACACAACAGGCAATTCGCACTGCAATCACAACAAAAGATGCATTAATTAGTTGTGATTTTGCCTTTCGAGGCTTCAGAGTATTATGAGAGAATAAAAAATATGAAGAAAAAAATTGAAAAATAAAGAAGTAACTTAATTATATGAATCGATGATGATGAGGGTCTTGTAACTGTGGGAGGCAAGTCCTCACCAGTAACCAGCGTCATCGTCAAGGAATTAGCTGCCCATCGACTTTTACGCAGGGGATGTGGGCAACCTTGGGCCAGTCTTGTCCTTTCTCCCATTCTAACCTTGGTTTCAGCAGCGGGCATTTGGAGAAACGTAGTTCAGTGAGGGAGGCCGGCAGTCCCTCTTCTGGTAGGGACTGGAGTCGTGGGCAATCATTGAAGCCTAGATTTTGAAGAGAGGTGAGGTGTCGAAGAGCCGAATAGTTTAGCACTTTCAGATTCTGAAGGTAGTTCAAGTGGAGATATTGAAGCGTGCAAGGCAACAGCCAGTCCTCCTCTGGAAACGACTCTACTTCATCACAGGGACCGCTAATGACCGATTCCGTGAGAGAGGGGAGTTTCTCCAAACCCCACTCTCTCCTGCGACTCACGAGCTTCTTGCAACCGAAGATTTTAAGGGCTTGTAGGGTGGAGGGCAAACCCCCTTCCGGGAAGCACTCAATTTCTGGACAATTGCCTAAATACAGATATCGAAGAGATGGGAGGAGGGATTCCATCCGTTGCGGCAGTGACGTGAGCTTCTCGCAATCCAGGATATAAAGCTCCGTTAGACTGGGGGCTCGAAAAGACATAAGATCATCGCAGCCCGAGATGTGTAAGTGTTGAAGTGACGCCATCACACTGCTAGTACTACTAGTTGTAGTAGTTGTTGTCATGCCACTCTGATTCCCAATCCCAGGTGCAGGTGCAGCAGGAACTGAGAGCATCTCAACACTCTTGCATTTATAAAATTGAACACGTTTTAGCATGGGAAACGAGGCAAGCCACTCGACTTTGACTTTGACAGTGTCACAATTTTCTAATATCAAGCGCTCCAAGGCGCCACCATCCTCCCCGCTTGAACTCTCCAATTCCAAATTGCAGCATCCCTTGTACTCAAGTGAATAAAGTGAAGCAGGCAGTCTACTCACGTGCGAGGGTAAGAGAGACCCACAATCATCAACCGTAAGTCGGAATAATTGGTTGAGCTGTAGGGGCAACTCCGTCAAATTTTTTAGCGCTGAAATCTTCAATTCACGGAGAGATGAAAACTTTTGTCGAATCTCTTCATTGAAGATGCTCAATCGACCACTGGGACACACAAGATTGTCGCACCCAGATATCTCAAGGCTTTGCAGCGATGCAAGTTGTTGGGGAAGCTCTCCAATTAGTTTGGGACAGTCAATTATACTGAGTTTTTTGAGTCTATTGAAGACTTCACCTTCTGGTATGTACCATCTCTCCCACTCTGGCAACTTCTCGATTCTCAACTTTTTCAGAGATGGGAATGGTTTGGTTGCACTGATGTCTCCATAAAAATCCTCCGCCAAATCTGATATATGATCCATCCCAAAAATTTCAAGTGATTGCAAGGACTCTAGCTGCCCAAGTGCAGGCAAGGAAAAACAATTTTCACAATTAGAAAGACTCAACGATTCCAAATGGCTTAACGAAGAGTTGCCTAGCCAATCTGGAAATGTTGTCCCGCCATACCCTATGATCTTGAGATGCTTTATGCTTGAATGAGGTTGTAAATTATCAAGCACATCTCTCACAGCTTGCGAATCATTGATAGCACCATTCCACTCCAAAGTTAACTCGTCAAGGTGTTTCTTGCCCTTTAGATTCGCCATCGATGCATCCCTACCACTACAAACATTTTCCAGCTTTGAAATGAAGAGCCTACCACGAAGCTTAGGAAATTTGCCCAACTCCTCAATCATTGAACCGCTGTCCTTGCCTACTATAAAATTAGTCAAAACTCGAAGGTTTCTCAGTCTACTCATATACAGTGGCATTTTTTTCAACGGAGTTCCACTAATATCCAGGTAAGACAAGTTAATTAACTTCGCCAAACTTACCGGCAACTCTTCCAGTTTCTCACAATCTGACAACAACAATGTTTGGAGGTTATATAAGGCGCAGATACACTCTGGTAGGGTTTCCAAAGGAGTAGAAGAGAGATTCAGCAAACGAAGGTGTTTCAAATCACTAATTGAGTCGGGCAACTTATGGATTTTATAGAACAACAACGACAGAAACCTTAAGGACCTGAATTTGGGCAACATTTCATGCAAAAATTTGTGGCTCAATCCTTTTCCGCCACGTCGTTTACTTAATGGTAAAAATGTTCTCAAGTTCTTGGTCTCCCTCAAGAGTTCAAATTTATGAAATGTGTCATGAAAACTACTAGGATGGTATGAAAAGTAACTTATGCTGCCTATTTTACCATGTTCCGGGTCATTATCTTCCAGCCTGTAACAGTACCTTCTAGAAACAGCTATGGCCAAGTCATTGACAAGGTCGTGCATCGAAAACAAACCGTTAGTTGACTGCTCAAGTAAGGACCTCAACCTCAACTCACGTAAGTACTCTTCACCGATTTGTTCAATTCCCCTGTTTTCTCCTGGAGGCTCCAAAAGATCATTAGCTTGCCATAAATGAATTATTTCCTCTTTTTTAAACTGGAAATCCTTATGAAATACAGCACAACATGCAAAGCACCTCTTAAGACGAGATGGAAGATGACTGTAGCTCAATCTCAACGCTGGCAAGATGTCATCTTCATTGTCTGTTTGAGTCCATACTTCACTTACTAAAATATCTTCCCACTCTTCAGCCGTTGTTTTTGAACGCAAGAGACCTGCAACTGTTTTCACAGCCAAAGGCAACCTTGCACACTTCTTCACAATTTTCTTTCCTATATCTTCAAGTTCTAGTCTTTGATCTCCATCTATATTTTCAAAGGCATGCTTTTCAAATAAGGAGCAGCAATCTTCCTCTGCTATCAAATCCAAGGAATAAATTGACTCTTTTTTACACATCATTAATGCAATTTTCTCATCACGTGTAGTTACAATGATCTTACTTCCTTGCATTGCACCTGTGAATAGCACCTTGAATCTATCCCAGTCACTGTAGTCCCGATTCCAAAAATCATCTAAAACGAGAAGAAACTTTTTCTGAGTTAGCCCCAATTGTAACTTCATTTGAAGGGAATTCAAATTCTCGCCCATATCAGAAAATGGAATACCGAGCTCCCCAAGAAGTTCTTTCGTTATCCTGGCAGCATCATAATCTTCTGATATGCAAACCCATGCTTTTGTAGGAAAGTGATTTTGCACCCTGTTATCTTTGTAAATCAATTGAGCAAGAGTGGTCTTACCAATTCCCCCAAGTCCCACTACAGAAATCACAGTGAAATTGACTCCATTTGCACTCTCAGATAGCAACATTTTAATTATCTTCTCCTTATCAGCATCTCTACCATACACTGTGGCCTCATCAACCAAAGAAGTTGAAGGAGTTCGACAGGATTGCCTTTTTGGTTCAATAACTCGCAAACCCATAGGGTTAATTTGTTGTATGAACCAATCCAATCTAGCAACCATTTTTTCTATCTGTGGCATCATCTTCCCAAGGAAATCATTACTGAAAGATGAGCTGTAATTCAAAGCACTTACCTGACTGGTCGAGTTATGGCATTTAGCTTCAACCTTCAGTCGTAGTGCCTCAGTGTTGATCTCATCAAGCAAGTCATCTGCCTCGTAGATAGTGTCATGAAGCTTATTTAGCCATCCTTTGACAGCTAGGCTGCTTGTTTGCTTGTTCTCTGCATCATCAAGCACATCTCCAACTATTTGTAAGTTCAGTTTGAGTTTCTCGAGGAGTTCTCCGTCATTCTCTCTTCCCCGAAATAGATTCAAAAACTCTTTTGTAGCCATCCTATCAAATACAACTTGAAGGAAAGCCGAGAGGACAGAGCTTCCCATAGCTAAAGCAACGTCAGCCATATCTCCTAGGCACAGGTCGGGAAAGCAAAATGCTTGCAGCCTGAAACAAGAAAGAAAAAACAGCCCCACAAATAACGCAGGCTTCTTAATGCAGTTGGAGGCTTAATCTTGTGACCTCAGAATGGATAGAACACACAAGTACCTTGAAGATTCAAATTGAAATAGTTGAAAAGTAATGAGTGAGAGAAGTTTAGCTGGCTTAGTTTGCACTTCGCAGGAAGTTTCTACTTCACAATTTCACTGAATGTGGGATGAACTAATACATGTTTTAGAGATACTAAATGAAATTGAAAAATTAAGATAATGCTCATATATACAGTCAAAAGAATACCAAAATGAATTCACTGTCATTGGTATTTTAGCGCATTGGCACTTTTTCTTTTTCTTTTTTTGCTTGATTAGTTGTATATCTGTGCAAGGCGAGCATAATTTCAGATAAGAATATCAACAATGCTCTTGCACATCTGTTTAGAAAAATTCGTATATTCTAAATGTTCAAATACTATGCAAATTTTGAAAAAAATTTTATACATCCGTTTATTTTGATGTGGTAGTATTGACTGAATACTGCAATACAGACAAACAATTGACCTTTTTTTTCATGAGATAGTAATTTAACTTATGCAATGCTTATACACATAGAACTATACAAAGCTACATATTCATTTTCATTTAAATGCAAAAAAAAAAATGCATTGATCCATTTTCTTATGAGAAAATATTTATTTTTTAGCAAAGTCAATAAATTCAAACGTAATGATTAAAACCATGGTAAGTTAAGTCATTCAATACATACATTGAAAAAGATCAAATTTATTTAAAGAGATAAATGTCTAAGAGAGAGAGAGTACAGAAGGCTTGGATACAGAAATAAATAATACCAAAAATGCCCATATGCCAGAACACAATTTTGGGGATTGTCTCGAAATAAAATTGACTTCGCAATTAACCTATTATGGGATTTCTGTTTTTTGATAAAATAGAAAAAATGATTTTGAGGTGCTTTTCCTAAGAATCTAATTCAATTTCTATTTTTCTAATTGATGTAATGACATTGAGTTCAAGTAGTTTCATGATTACGTTTTGCTTTTAATTTATTCTTTTTACAGATTGTGGTTAATGCTAGTAAATTTCCTTTTTCTGATAAAAAGAAGGAAAAAAAATCTCATTACGTTGAGGAGATTGTAAGTGCTTCACTGACTTGTTCATATTAGCCTAAAATGTTCATATAAATTTTAGTGGGAACGTTCTCAAGTTAGATGTATTTTTAGTCCAAAGAGATTTCACGAATGGAGAGACAAAGAAGCATTGTGACCCGAACTATTTACTATTCACTTATTCAGCCCCATTTCACCCAAAAGAAAAAGGATAAAGGCAACTTTTTTTTGGAAAGACTGAACAAAAATGGACGCTTTCTATAACAAAGAGCAGTTTGAGAAAGCACATTTGAAGCAGTGACAAAACTTACTTTAGAGCACTGTACCGCAGAGACCTGTAATTTGGGTCAAAGTGAAAGTTTTTAATTTTAATTTTTTTTTGCAGGGCGAAGTTTTACTTATAATTAACTTAACTCATTTGAAATCATTCTAAATTTCAGGGACAAATAACATAAATTTTTAGACTTGGGGGGCAACGGTCCTCTGCCCCTGCTTGCGTCATTTGAAGTTAATAGGATTGCAGAAAACTATAGAAAATTTTAAGCAGTAATAGGAAATAGGGTCTACGGTTCAATCTCAGAACTTCAGCTAAATTCGTATCCTACACCTCAACAATTATCCCATTAACTCTATGAGAAAACATAGAAATTAATACAAAAAAATACAGCAATTAGAATAGGAAGATCACAACTAGAAGTGGCAAAATGGATATATGGTTGATAAATGGTTTTAGTTAAATGGATAGTGGATTAAATTGATCCAATCCAATTAAAACCATTTAATAAATGGATCTAAATGGATGTCATTTAAATAGATAGTATAAACCATGATCCATCCATTTATCCATTTACTCTCCCAAATCCTAAATTTAAGATCCAAATGTTTTTTTTTCCAAAAAATACAGATTCCCAAAGTTCTATCCTTAAATCACCTAAAACCTTTTGGTAATAACAAATGCTTGTACTACTACTTTATTTCAGTTCTTCATAAAATTAGTTTGGTTCCAAGAAAATTTAACTGTTGTGGTCAATTTAACCTTTCGTCATTACTTTAGGTATCATTTTGTAAAGTAATGAACAATTAAGAACTTGGCTATATTTTTATAACTTTTGAATGAATTGAATACGGCTTTACAGCGAAAAGAAGTTTACGTTTCCAATTTTTTGCACTCCTATTCAAGAGTGATGTCTTGAATAAAAGTGGAGTTCTAATAAGAAATCTTATGTTATTTGACAAGTAAAATATTTTCATCACATGTGCACGTAGTACCTAAAAATGTATGAAACTCCTTATTATACCATTGATTACAAGCTACCTTAAATTACTTAGTAAATTAGGTGTCTTTTTTTTTTTTGGATAGTTGGGTTGGGTGATAAGGGGAGAGGGATTGCAAGTATGAGGATTTGGAAAAAAAAAAGGTGTCATTTATGTATTTTAACCAACGTTGCGGGGACACTCGTTAGAAAAATTCTTTTTATAAATAAAAGAATTAAAAAAATAAAAACTATTTTGACACTGCATGATGCATTCTCGCTTTTTCTTTACTTAATAATATAAATGTTTGCAATCATTACTACATGAGAGTTTAATTAAAAAAAAACAAGAGTAGAGACTAAAATATAATTTTGAAAAGGATGGAAGAAGTCTAGGAACAAGAAGCAAATAAAATGCAATTAATGTTATTGGTAACTTGGCATGTGAGGAAGTTATGAAGGAAAGAATAGGTGGTCTCACAAAATTAATTTGACATATGAGGAAGTTATGAAGAAAAGAATAGATGGTCCCACAAGATTTTATCTCACATTTTTATAAATGTGTTTTCTATTTTTTAAATTAAATGGATGTATATGGATAAGAAGGATAATCCATTTAAATCCACCAACATAATTGGATTTAAATGGTTATCCATTTAAAACCATTGAATTTATATGAATCATCCAAATCCATTTAAGGTTGGTTTATATGGATGGATTGGTGGATATGAATCCATTTTGCCACTTCTAATCACAACCATGTATATGTTTGTCAAACTCAACCCAATTCTTACTAGTATACCAGAAAAAGTGCATGAAAAAAAAGTACTTTCTGAACTTTAATTTATTCTGTTTCATGGAATTCAAAACACCAAACTTTGGTTAGCTTTGAGAGAATTCCAGCCTTGTATGATAAATTGTACAAAGAATACTGTTCCAAGGTGCATCCAAAATATTAAGGAGAGTGCTATAAAGACTTGAAATTTAAGGTACCATTGAAAATAGAGGACATTTTATTATGGAATATGGCGTCACATTTTTTGAAATTTATAATTTGAGCAGTGATTTGGAAACGGAAGATCTTTATAGTTTTAGAATTCAAACCAAAAGTTGTTTTTTTCCCCTGTTTGGTTTGTAGATTTTGAAAAGAAAATCCTTTGCTTTTCTTTTTCTTTTTTTATTATGAAAATTAACTAATAAGAAGACGAATTTTGAAAAGGAAATGGAAACAAAAATCTCTTTTTTTTTCTTTTCAAAAATTAAAAACTTGACAGACAATCAATTAAAATAAGTTGGAAAAATATTTTAATATTGACGCCAAACTTTGAACTAAAATTGTTTAGATCACCTCATTCTCAACCTCAAACCTTCACTTGCAAACTTGAATGGAAACTGGAAACTAATTGCAGAGTCTATAAAAGAATATTAATAATAATAACAGTAATAATAAAGAACAATAATATTTTGCTAAGAGACCATATAACACGAATTTAACAAAATGCCATGAAATTGAAAAAATTGAAAATTAAAAATGCAGTGATGTCGAAGCAAAATGAAACTTACGGTAGCAGACAAAACAAGTTTTGCTTCGAATGATTTCGGGCTCACAAGTCAGTCCAGAAGTTGATGAAAGCTTCTCTATCTCATCTGCTCCTTTGTTGAATGGTGTAGCGAAATGAGAAATGGTGCCGAGTGAAGTTGGAGAAAAGGATTGGGATAGAGTCTGTGATCAAAGAAAGTCATCAGAAAACAATATGAAATTAGAATGTAATCTGAAATGATGAGAAGATAATGGAGCAATTGCGTGGGTAATAAATAGAAGGACCAGCAACAAGAAATTGTCCTTTGATGTGAGTAATCCAGAATAGTATGGGATATATATATATATATATATATATATATATATATATCTATCTATCTGTGTGTATTCTTTCTTTCTTGGGTGCAAGAAAGAAAGTCGAAGTTTCTAACCGCTTAAGAAAGTGAAATGCAGGTTGGAAAGAAAGTAGACACTGATTCATCCATTTAGAAATTCTCAATGATTGTACTCAACCTTTGCTTCATGACTTTGCTCCAATTATCAGTCCATTTAATGCCAAAAAAGAAAGAAAAGCAAAAAATCAAATTCTAAAAAATTCTAAAAATCCAGAATAGTATTGGACCTATAAATTAAATTTCTTTTCCATTTCTTTGGTTTAATGATTCGAACTTGATATCTACTTGCAATTTAATACAAAATCTTCTAATCCAAAGTTGTCTAACAACAAGTTCTTCGCTATGAAGATAATTATAAGAACACCAATAAATTCAGATTCAACTTGTATACCCAGTATTGAATTAAAAAATGTATTAGTATGTTAAATTTATATTGTAGCTCATGTTTCTATATTTGCTTTCTTACCACCCTACATTAGGGAAAAAATCTATCAATATGAGCATATCCCAGAGTTTTACTTTAAAGTACTAAATGAAAGAGCCAATTAGTTACAAAATTGTAATACATGTTTAATAATGGGATATATTTGGAGACAATAAACAAAATTCTAAGAAAATAATATGTAATATAAAGCATTTAATAGAAAATTAAAATTTGTAGATCAACTGATTTAGTAACATTCTAAATATATATAGACAAGTTCATATTTTTCCGAAGGCAAAAAGTTTAAGTGAAGGGGAGGCAAACTGTTTAGGGGTTAAAGGAGATTAGGCAAAAGTTGGGGGTTTTGGGTTGGGGCTGGGGGGCTGCCCCTATTGGCCGCCCCTAGTACCTTTTGAGGATTATTTTTGTCCAATTAATACATAAGCATAGGATAGCATTTGAGTCTCTATCTAAATCAAATGAACTTTCAGACAAAAAAAAAAAAGAAAACAAAACAATTAGGGAATTTTTTTCCTTTCACATATTCCTTTTTTATATTTTTATATTTTCTTTATTGTTATAGATTTTTTATGAATTTTAAACTCTGTATAAAACCTATTAAATGAACTAAATCCCAATTGAAACGTTTAAAAAATGAAAATGGTCAGCACAAAACTTGTGAAAAAATAGAAGATAGGGGAGAATTGCTGAAAAATATAATGGTAATTCCCCCCCCCCCTTTTGTGATTATCATAATTATTGGTTTTAACTTTTTGCAATCATGTATAAGTCCAACAACAGTCATCATATCACCCGAGAAAAACATGTTTCTCACGTGAATCAAAATTCAATATATTCCAAAAATCAAGAGTTTGAAAAATAAATTTAAAGTGGATACAGATTTAAAGCGGATACAATATAAGTCCAAAAATCATTACATCAATTTCAACTCCAATTCATCTAAAGTATATGCTATTCAACATAACCATGCCACGCTCGGGGGAGGGTTGGGTTGGTTGGTACGGAGGAGGGAGTGTAAGCAAGAGGTCTCGGGTTCGAGTCCTCCCGCTTACACTTTAAAAAAAAAAAAAAAAAAAACACCACTCCACGCTCAAGAAGATTGGACTAAGTATAATCGGAAATTCGCTCATTAGTTCAAGGGTAAAAAGCAAAAGGGCCATCTATGGTCAAACAAATTTATAGGAAAGCTCTCAATAGTTTCAAAATGTACAATTGACATCTTATGGTTTGAACCAAATTGGAAAAGCAATGAAAATCATTAAAACTAACATGAGTAAATAAAATGACAAAAATATCCAAATATATATAAGGACAAAATGCAAAAAAATCCTCTTGTGGTTAAGCCAACTTATAGGAAAGTCCCCTATGGTTTCAAAAAATATAATTTTCATCCCTTTCACACATAAAATAGTTGTTCTGATTTGGTTAATATCTGTATATGGGATAACATGATGATCACAAAAAAAAAAAAAAAACCCACAATCATTCATTGCACACGTAAAGTACAATAGTCATTTTGATGGCCTTTTTGACCTTAACAATTTTTACTTTCGCTATTTTTGTGAACATTCACAAATTTTGTACCGGTAGGTATTATAGGATCTAGTTCTATTGCCCACTCGAGAGTATGAGACAGATATAAGCAACTATTTTGCAAAATTTTTCTTCACTTTATACAAAGAAAAAGTATTAAAATTCTTACTTAAAATTTTTTTAAAAAAACCTCTAAGATAATATTATAATAGCAAAATTCCAAATTGAAAACTTTTACCATACCTCAAAAGTAGTGTGCATAAGATTGGTAGTTGATTTCTCTCATGAAACTTTACTCCCTTTTCAATATATTTTCTGAAAGTTTCAAATCAAATCCAGTTTGTATGTTTTGAAATTACAGAGGATTTTTTTTTCTTTAAGTTGGTTAACCATAGGATGCTTTTTTGTATGGAACAAAATAGGTATATCAACTAAAAATTGATTATAAAAAACTATTTTCAGGTACTATTAATTGCAAAACAAGCTCGTGTGCATTTGACACGCTAGTTTTAACGATTTGCATTACATTTTTAGTTTAATTCAAATCATGAGATGTCGGATTATATGTTTCGAAACTACTGGGACTTTCTTGTATGTTCACTTAACCACAAATGCCTTTTTTATTTTTAACCCTTAGTTCAATATTAGATAATGACTTTTTTATTTTTAACCCTTAGTTCAATATTAGATCTTGATTTAATTGAGGTTTTCCTCTTGTAAAACTTTATCAATGATCGTAATAAATTTCCATCTTTTGCTAAAAATAGTGATTGTAATTGCCCTATTTGACGAATTTTAACAGAATTCAATAGAATTTGCAAATTTTGATAATGAAAAAGAAATTAAAGAAAAATGAAGCTTGCGGTCAAATGATATCGGGCTTAGTACTTAGCAGTCAGTCCAGTACTGGATGAAGCTTCACCTGTCGACTCCTTTTGGTGTAGACTCTGTGCTCAAAGTTCGTTGTTGTCCCACACAACATACAGAAATTAGAATGTACTCTGAAAGAAGATAGTGGAAACTGAGCAATACGTGGACCAGGAATCAAAAGTGTGGCTAATCACTGCACTGCACCCTTTTGATGGTGGGAATAGACGAATTAACCAGGGAGCAATAAGTTGTCCTTTGATGTGATTAATCTGCAGCTCTACGAAAGTAGAAATTGAATTTTATATGACAGTGACTCTAATTCAAAATGCTCACATCTATTATATTATTATGATAAGCTTCCCTCAATTACTTGAGGAATGCAAGTGAAGATCAATCATGCTTATGCCGAAGCGATTTTTTTTTTAATCTTTTAAATATATATTTATCTATTTACACAGACAGCAGCGTATGAAATTATAGTTTAAATGTAAGTTGGAATTAGTTAGAAAGCAAACAAAGAGTATATTTTCTCCTTTAATTCTTTCTTTAGATTCTATTTTGCAAGAATTTCTTGTTTTACACAAATAATTCTACTGATTAGTTTTACATCAAATTAGATATGTTGATGCTTATTGTTTGTCAATATATTTGCTGCAAAGAGGGTTACCAGTGCATTTCGCCGTTGAAAAGAAAAGTTAAAATGAAGCAAGCAACTTGATAGAAAGACAGACTTGGTGGACGAATTTTACAAACCAACAAATGGAAAACAGAAACAAAAAAGAAGAAGAAGAAAAAGAAAAGTAATGGTAGTTGGTGATGAAATTAACCGACATCGATTCAATTTGGTGCTGATCAGAAAATGGACAAGACAGACTGACAAGAGACAAGAAATTGTCCTGTGAGGTGATTATTCAAAAGTTTACTATCTCAAGAAATGGGAAAAAAATTTGCAAAATTTTGGGGCGAAAGTAAAATAAAGGTTGTAAAACATGTTATTCTGGTTTCATGACCGGATGTGCATTCCGAAAAACTCCTTGCACGCTTTTATTATGTATTTTTATCAAATTATACACGTTTGATATGTATTTTATCAAATTATACACGTTTGATCTAAAAGTTTCAGAAAGTGTTTCAAATGTTGAAAAGAATGTGAAAGTCTCATAAACCTTTGGCTTTGTGAGCCTCTCCATTTGCATGAGCATTCGTGTGAAAGCAGCCAAAGACTAAAAATTCTGCTGTTGACTACGGGGAGTTTCATTGTACCTGATCAGGAGGTCTTGCCCGGTCAGGCCAGGATAAGAATCCAAGACCTGTAATTTGGGGTCAATGTGAAAGTTTCTAAATATTTTGTAGGCCAAGTTTTACTTTTTGTTTTTAAAGATTTTTTTAACCCTCCATTTCACGTCCACTTGATCAGTTACCGTCCATTCGACTGGACATTAGAAAGATTTTTAAAGTCATCCCCTATTCCCATGAAAATCTTTTAGAATTTCGGGGACAAATAACATAAATTTTTAGACTTGGGGATGATCCGCTCTCCTTGCTTCAGTCATTTGAAGTATAATAGGATTGCAAAAAACTATAGGAAACTTTAGCTTTCTTTCTTCAGAAATAATCGGTTACCATTACTATTATTTTTGTTTAGTTCTATTGTAATTTTTATTAAAGCAGAAATAGGAAATAGGTTCTATGGTTCAATCTCAGGGCTTCAGCTAAATTCGTATCCTATACCTCAACAATTATCCCATTTAACTGTATGATAAAACATAGAAATTGATACCCAAAAAAAAATAATAATAATACAGCAACTAAAACAGGAAGATCACAACCATCATTTATTTGTTTGACATACTAGTATACCAGAAAAAGTACTTTCTGAACTTTTATTTATTTTGCTTCATGGTATTCTTTTTTTTTTTTTTTTTTGCCAAAAGCGGCAGATTCTTCATGGTATTCAAAACACCAAACTTTGGTTTGCCTTGAGAGAATTGTAGCCTTGTAAGATAAATTGTCGAAAGAATTCTTCCACGGTGCATCCAAAATATTAAAGAGAGTGCTATAAAAACTTGAAGTTTTAAGGTACCATTGAAAATAGAGGACACCATCTCATGACTATCTTAGATTGATTATATATATTTAAAAAAAAAAAAGTTGATTATGGAATAGGGTTAATTACATTTACCTCCCCTGAGGTTTGACCATATTACCAATCAATCCCTGTAATTTGTCCAAATAACGGTCTCACCCTTTGACTGATCAAACATTTAACAAAAACCCCCTTAATGCCGAAAATGCCCTTATTGAGGCCATGTTGCATTAAAAAAAGAACATATTTTTATTTTATTAACCCTGAAGCAATCCAAAAAAATAGAAAAAAGTTTTTGCTTATTATTTTATAAAAAACATATCTTTGCTTCCATAAATAGTTTTGAATCAATAATTATTTTAAATCTTAAAAATGAATATTAAAAACTAGATAAATTGAAAGAAAAATAAAAAAAGAAGAAATTATTTTAATTCCTGAGGTATGGTTCAAATTGAGGAAAACATGCCTTGTGCTCTCCGCAACATGCCTTGAACCACAAATTCGAACCATACTTGAGGATTTAAAATAATTGCTTCTTTTTTTATTTTTCTTTCAATTTATCTAATTTTTAATATTCATTTTTAAGATTTAAAATAATTATTGATTCAAAACTATTTATGGAAGCAAAGATATGATTTTTATAAAATAATAAGCAAAAACTCTTTGATGATTTTTTTGGATTACTTGAAAGTTAATAAATAAAAATATGTTCTTTTTTTAATGCAATATGGCCTCAAAAAGGGCATTTTCGGCATTAAGGGGGGTTTTTGTTAAATGTTTGATCATTCAAAGAGTGAGACCGTTATTTGGACAAATTACAGAGATTAATTGGTAATATGGTCAAACCTCAGGGGAGGTAAATGTAATTAACCCTATGGAATATGGCATCACATGTTTTGAAGTTTATAATTTGACCAGTGATCTAGAAATGGAGGCCTTTATATTTTTAGATGTCAAATCAATCTTCATATAAACTCAAAATTATCCTTTTTTCTGAAAATCTTATGGGCATGGGATCCAGGGTTTGAAAATCAAACACGTTTTCATCAATTTCAACTCCACTTGATTCAGGATTTATACTAATGAGCGCGTTAACATAACCATAGCATGACCTTAAGACCGGGGGGGGGGGGGGGGAGATTCCTAGCAATAAGGCCCAATTTGTTCTCCGAATTTAGCAAGGAAAAGGAAATCAAAGAAAAGAAAAGCAAATTACTTTGGAAATGTTAAATCCCTCATCTTGTTTGGTTATGAACGAAAGTAGCAAGGAATGATCTCTACAATATTTCTTTTCTTTTTTTTTTTCTGTTTGATTTATTGATTTTCAAAATGAAATCCTTTGCTTTTCTTTTTCCTTTTCATGAAAATTAACTAATAAGAAGATGAATTTTGAAAAGGAAAAGGAAACGAAAATTTCCTTTTTTTCTAAAAATTGAAAAATTAATAGACAATCAACTAAAATAAGTTGGCAAAATATTTTAATTTTAACGCCAATCTTCCAACTAAAATTGTTATATCTCCTCATTCTCAACCTCAAACCTTCACTTGCAAACTTGAAAGCAAACTGGAAACTAATTGTAGAGTTTATAAAAGAACATTAATAATAATAACAATAATAGTAAAGAACAATATTTTGCTAAGACCATATGATACGAGTTTAACAAAATGCCAAGCAGTTGCAAAAATTGAAAACTAAAATTGCAGTGAAATCGAAGCAAAATGAAACTTACGGTAGCAGACAAAAGAAGTTTGCTTCAAATGATTTCGGGCTCTCTATATCTTCTGCCTCTTTGGTGAATTGGTGGGCTCTGTATCTCTTCTTTCAGTCCTGAGGGTGAATTGGTGAAATGAGAAACGGTGACGAGTGAAGTTGGAGAAAAGGTTTGGAAATAAGAAGATGTTTACCAAGTCATCAGAAAACAATATGAAACTGGAATGTAGTCTGCTGAAATGATGAGAACATAATGGAGTAATTGCGTGAGTGATAACACAATGGACCAGCGACAAGAAATTGTCCTTTGATGTGAATAATCCAAAAGAGTATGGGACCTATAGCAATTATGTTTATTATTATTAATTAATTGTTATTATTTGGTGCAAGAAAGAAAGTGGAAGTTTCTACCCGCTTTAGCAAGGGAAATGCATTCAAATAATTCTAAATTAAGGACTGCATAGCAATTAACTACAGTCCAAATCCCATAAGTATGTTTCTTTCCGATCTTCGTAATATTCAAATAGTAACATTTAATATGGCTATACGAGCTTAAAATAGAATTAGAATTGGTTTTATTTCCTACCCTACTGTCTTTAGCTTCAAGTTTTGTATAGAGGGGAAACATATTACTTTGCTATATATTAATTTGAGGAGTTAACTAATCTACAAAAGCATGGAGATCTAGCGAAACTTATTGAATTACTCACCAATTAATTAAGCAATGCTTTTCTTTCTTTTTTCTTGAAAAAAAAATGACACAGGGAGTTTCCAAGAATAATTTGAAGAATTAATATGTAATTTACACGATTTGAAAGCCAATTCAAAAGACAAAAGTGAACAGAGGAATTTTGACGGCAACAACCTTACGAGAAACGAGAGGGCGAATGCGGTCTCAAAGAGGACGGACTTTAGCCCGTCTACCGTCCCGGAAACTGCATGGAAAAGGAGATCAAAATAAAAGCCACATCCCGGAAACGACAAGGAAAGTGCAAGGAAAGGCAATTGAAATGAAGAACGGTAGCGTCAACTGTTTAAGTCAATGAACCATTAACCATGACTTTGTATCAGCACAAAGCCTCACAATAATTACAGGTAGCGGTTAGTTGTTGACAAAATAAAACAAGTTTTTAGGACTTTCGTTAATTTAAATTTAGCAATTGGTGTTACATTAAGTAATCCCGTATTTGAGTGGCTTCTCATCCTCTAAGTTCAGAGGGTTATAAATAGGCTATTTTATGATATTTTTCTATGACATTTTTTTAAAAAAATTTTACCTTTTCCACCCCTCTCCGTACCCTTTCCATCTCCTAGTGTGAAGCCCAATATTCAAATCTTGAAATTTGATAGGGGAGAGAACTCTAAGAACCTTCCACTGGCTACTGGATCAACCGCAGTGGTTAGAGTTTGTAGAATTTATTTGGTCACAATTTATGTGACATTCTTTGTTGTTTTAGATATTAAAAATACTGTGATTTGATTTCTTTATTCCCTCCCGCATAATTAGTATGTGATTATGTAATTCGTTCATTTCTATGATCCTGCGAAATATTAATATTAGAACTCTAAAAGCTGGGATCTATAGTAGTTCTTTTTCTTTCTGTAACTCTTTTTTTCTTTTTGGTAACTCATACACTACATTGTCAAGCTTAGGTATGGCAGAAAAGATTAAACTTAGAAATGCTAAAATGAATGGGAAAATAAACAGCCATTTTCATTGTTAATTACTTTGTGATGAGGAAATAAATTCCAGAATTTTTAATTTTTTTTAATAGACGAAAGATGAGATTTAAAAAGTAGAAAGGGAAAAAAGAGATTTGAACTCAAGATTTCTAATTCTTAGGATCTCAATCTTAACTGACAGGGTGTCGAAGCCTGTACAATAATAAAATTAAACCTAATTGCCAGTAAAAATGACCAAAACCCAATTCGAAATACTGGAGCAGGGACTCTAGGTGTGTAATGGGTTACTTGATTCACCTTATTCCCGAAGAGTTTGCTTGATCCGATATACCCGAATGGAATGGTTATTTCTTTTCACAAATAATTATGAATTTGTAGACAGGACAAGTAGGGTCGTATCCACAGGGATTGGGTATATTTATTTCTTAAGAAATCCAAAGTAACATAGGGGGGTGATATTGTAGGAACGACGACAATCCAATAAATTCAAATAAGAAAATAAAAATAAATAACTAGTTAGAAATTAAACCACAATTCACTGAACTTAAAGTAACAATAATTAAAGGCCCAAATCAATTAAAACAAGGAAACAATTAAAAATGAAATAAAGTAGACAGCTAAAAGTCAAATGGCAATTCACTAAAATCAAGGTAATATTAATTAAAGATTTAGCCAAGAAATAACTTCAGCAATGGTTCACCTAATTGATCATTGAAACAAAGGCAATTCCAATTATTTATCAATAAATAGGTTATAACTACCAAACAAGCGATGACAGTCAACCCCTCCTTACTGTGTCGGTGATCAAGGTACGCCCGTTAATCACTGCTCTAATTAGGAAAATAATCCTAAGTACGCTCGTAAGATTTAATTCCCCAACTGCCTTACGTATTAGAGGAACCCTATTCTAACCAAATAACGCACTACCAGGGTTATTTCAGATTAGCCCGCGTATCCCCCTGACACGAATCTAATCGTGCCAGTTGTCACTATTTCATGATAATTAAATAATTACGGATTTAACGTCCTAATTGACAATAAGTTACCAAATCAATTAATTATCTGGATCCAAGACAATCAATTAATTAAATAATCATAAGCATAGCAATCAAGGAATATGCGAATACCAATAAATAAAAGGAAAATATTAAATTAAATCGATCTCACAAATTTTAGGCGAGCCAGACCCTTCGTTGCCTCCTTGACTAGAGTGAGGAGATTAGTTCATATTTGATGAACAAAATCCCCAAGAAATTAAAGCAGGAGCTGCGGCCATCAAACGGACAAATTCAAGTCGTTCAAATTGCAAAGGAAAACGAAGTCAAGTCATCCAATTTGCTCTTTTCATCCGCAGAAGGAAACGAAGCTACTAAGAATTAGGAGTAAAAGGAGTCAAAGTTCCTCCATCCGGTCTTGACATGCGCAGGATTCAAAATCGAAAAGAGATCAAAAAGAAAAATCAAAGCTCAAAGCTAACAATTGCTTGCTCCTGACATGCGTAAGTTCCTAAAGCCAAGAGTAAGTCCTAGGGAAAAGTCAAAAGCTAAGAATGCTAAGTGCTGCCATGCGTAAGAAAGGCCACAAGAATTCCTCTTGGAAAAGTCAGCAATTCATCATAAGCTACAGACGAAAGACTAAGAATCAAGCCCCCCATTCCATTGCTTCCTCTTCTTTCTTTTAATTGCGGCGGCACCTCAGCATAACGAAGCCCTTCAGCCATCCTTCCCTCGCGGAATTTACCAAAATGGGCGTAACATCTTCTTTTCCAAAAATACCCCTGGGACAAGCTCTATCATCTGGACTGCTTTTCTGTCAAATTGGCACCTGTTATCATATTTTCGTTCTACTCCCTGAAATAAATGCAAATTACAAAAAGTGAGTAGAATCTACTAATTAATCCACATCAGGTCAGGTAATAGGGAAAATTAATAATAAAATAAATAGTAAAATTGTAACTTATCAATTTTCCCCACACCTAAACCATGCTTGCCCTCAAGCATAAGAAAAGTACACAGACACCAAGATTTGATAATGGTCATTGCTCTACCTACCAAATTGCCAAGATACCAAGAAAAATATATATCAAGTATCAGTGATCAAGATCCAAGAAACATCACTTCGGTTAGCTTCTAAAACATAGACACCTCTAATTTCAGATTAACTAATCTAAGAAAAAGGAATGACGTGCAACATTTATCAGCAAATGGTCCAAATATTCACACAAGTCTCCATATTAAGTCCATAAACCGGCAAGCTTTTCTATTTTTTTTATTCTCTCCCCCCTTTTTTTATTATTATTTTTTTTATTTTGATTGGTTTTTTTTTTTTGATAATAATAAAAACAGCACAAAAAAACTTAGTCTCTAGCCGTTGAAGTTTTTTGACGCGAACTCCAACATTTCTAGATGAAGGAGCCCGGTTACTCAGCTCCTACCGCTACACGACCACGTACTCATAGAAGTACTACCTTTTGACGCGAGAATCAACACTTTTAGGTGCAAATTCCCGGTTACTCAGTAGTAACTAATAGTGGAGTACAGTCAAGCTTATTCACAGCCAAACAACGCAAAAATGCAAAATAACAACACTAGAAACCAAAAATAGGAACAGCTAGCCTCATTATTGCCCTACATGGAGTATTAGAGTCAATATTGGACCAATTCACATGAAAATGCAACAGTTATTCCCTATGCCTAGAAAAGTTAACAAAGAAATCAAAAGAGTCAAGCAGTCCGATATTCACCAAGGGGATATCTTGGATTCAACCACATTAATCCGATACATTTTTATTTAAAAAAAAAACTTGGCAAAAGTAGAATTAGAGTCAATAAACCAACATCTTTTTTTTTTCTTTTTTTTTTCATTCACATGAGAGATAAGCACCAAGAAGAAAAAAAGAAAATAAGCAACTAGAAATAAAACTAAAAACTACTAAAAACTAAAAACACTAGCACCCCATTAGACCCCCCCACACCTATAGGACACATTGTCCTCAATGTGACAAACAAACTGTAAAAGTGGGAGAGAGGGCAACCAAACTTCCCTGAAACCGGGTCAAAGTGGAGGGTGAGGTGGTGCTGGGGACGGGAAACCCGAGTGCTGCATGAAAGTCGCCAGATTTTGTGCCATAGCCGCCACATTGTTATCGATGTTAATCATCCGGGCCTCCAAATTCTGAACCTACTCCCGGAGTTGCCGCCATTCAGTAGTCCCAGGTGGTGGATATGATTGACAGGATATGATGCGCCTCTCACAGACCTTACCATATCTCTGCTGATCGGTGGGTCTAGTAAATGTCAAGTGCCCCCTCAAAGTGAGCTGGGGTACTACCTGAGCACCCTTACCCCTACCCAAGCGGGTTCGGACTCCGGGGGCATAAGGTTGGTTTATAGGGGTATTGACCGGAATGGAGGATTGGGGTTGAGACTGAGAGGGTCTAGGGGCTTTAGACCTAGAAGCTGATTTCGGCCTCACCATGATTTGGAGCAATCAATTTAATCGACAGAAGCTCCAACAGGTATAGAAACAAGCAAATACAACTAGCAA